CCAAAGAGACACTGACATCTGAAGCATGATTTGAGCAGCCAGGCTTCCCACAGCTCCTCTCCAAGCTGAAGGAGCCCCTGGCCATGATGGCACCGGGAGGGAGAAGGCCAAGGAGCCCACTCCAGGGGAGATTTGGCCACACAGCTCTAAAAACACATGAAAAGGGCCCCTGATAATCCAAGAACTCGGAGTGAAGGCCATGCTCACACAGCACGTCCTGCCACACAGGTGGCTGAGCCACAGTCTGCCTCCTGCCTTTTTTCAAAGGTACCTTTTGTACCAGACAGAATAAATCCGTGCTGCTTCCCACTCCTGCAGCTCCGTGGGAGTCAGCGTGCTGGCTCCTGCTGCTGCAGATGTGCCAGGCCCACCTGCCTCTCACTGCTGGGCTCCACTGCAGCACACTGTCCATCCCTGGAGCACACTGGTGCCTGAGGTGGATGAGTAGCACATAGACAGAGGTGTCAGGAGACTCCCTTCCCCTCAGATCCTCACTGGGAGCTCTCAGGGTGAGTACTCCCCCCTTGATAACTTGAGACTACACACATGGCAGCTGCTGGGGCTGTACCAAAGCACAGCTTCACTCCTTGGCTGAGCAGCAAGGCAAGAGCTTGTGCAATTCCCTGGATAGCTCTGCTGCTTCCCCAGCTGGGAACCTGTCAGGAGCAATACAGAGCAAAGCAGGGGGAGAAGGCCCTTCCTGGGAAGCAGCTCCTTGCTCTGGTGCATAGGCTCAGAATGGGGCAGCATCTCCCATGCATTACCTGCTCCATGTTTATAGCTATCATTAAAATCCACTGGAAGAAAATAAAGCATTTTTTGCCCTTCTAAGGGAACTGATACTCTGGAGTTATGAAGATTTTCCATGTCAGTTCCCAGCTGTACATCTGCAGACAGACGTGCAACACTTCGAAGGACGTGGGAATCAGCTCAGCCCAGCTCCTCACTTCACATATGAGGAGCCTGGAATGTTTGGTGGGTGCTTCTGCAAGGAGGCCAAACCCTAATTGCACCTCTTAGCAGTAGTGTGAGAACACAGCTTGGCCCTGGGGCAGAGGGGATCAAACACCAGCAGAGCAGCTGACAAACCACCACTCCCAGGGCTGCCTTTCCTCAGAAACCACCATCAGCTGATTAAGAAGTGCAAATCTCTCATGTAGGAACAGGCTGTTTGCAAGAGCAAGGAAGTGATATTTTAGAGTGTCTAATAAAGGAGCTTAAAATGAAACTCTGCAGAACAATAGCCTGAGCTGATAACTGGCATCCGAGCAGAAAGTCAGGCGGGGGAGCTGTGCCACAATTTATTTCCTCTCTTTTCATTTCATAAGAGGGAAGCAAATCAAAGCAGACACCTGAGGCATCTCTTGCTGACGCCGGAGGTTTAGTGAATGCTGCCATCCTGCGGGGAAGCCTCTGCTCAGCCTGGGGAAAGCAGGGGATTTGGGGCAGCCCCCAAAGAAGCAGAGGAGCAGGATGAGGGCCAGCATCCAAGAGTAATAGAGCTTTCTCCACCCTCCACCAAAATCAGCCGGGCAGCCTCAGGTAAGCTGGTTATCAGCTCCTTATCTCCACCACAAATTGACTCGTTTTCCCACAGCTGCAGTCTCCAGAGGCTGCAGGAGCTCCTGTCACGGCCACGCAGATGCCATGGCTGTGTTAATGCTGGGACTCAGCAGCTGGAGGTCTCCTGGTCTCCCAGCCCGTTCCTATGGAAACAGGTTGGGAGTCTGCCAATTTTCCATAAAGAAGGAGAAAGAAGAATGAGCTTGTGTGGATGAAGTGCCTGTTTGTCAGGTTTAGGGTGTTGCAATTCCAAAGGATACATGGCCCAACAATGCCAGCAGCACACGATTTCATGAGCAGCCTGTGGCACACCAAGGTTGCAGACAGCAGCACTGGAACCTCCCTGTTCCATCTCTACAGCAGCCAAGATGAATCACATCCATCCAGCCTGGAGCAGAGCTTGGGAGTGATCACCAGCAATTAAAAGAGAGTGAAAAAAAGAAAAAAGAACAGATTGAGAAGTTGGTAGTTGTGTCCTCTGTGTGCTGTTCAGAGAAGTGGATGGGAGATACTGCTTATGTGCACTGTGACCCCCGTGTCTTAAGGTCTCCCATGAGCCTCATCCCAGGCAGGAGCCTTTGTGCTCCCAGACCCTCCTAGAAACAGAGATGTGACAACTTCAGTGAGTGTGCAGAGTTCTTTTTTTAGGCAAGGAGGCTCTCCCTTGCAGAAAAAACAAAAACAAAACCACCACCAAAACCACCACCAAAACCACACTATGATACACAAGCCCTAAAATCTCTAAATCCAGAAATAATAGGGAAAAAAAAAAAAAAACCCCAAACCCTGGACAATCCACAGCCTTCACTGAACATAAGCAGCGGCTGAGCCTGGGCAATTCTGGGATCTGAGTCCCCATTTCTGCATGCTGCCACTATCCAGGTTCATGGAAATGCCTTTGGAAAGCTGCAGGGAAGAGCCCACGGAGGGTATATGGTCCCCACCTAAAGGCATATACAGCTACCACTCCACCGGGACACACAGAGCTGCTGGGAGGACCAGGGTGCTCCGAGGAGATTGTATATTTTGCCCATTCATGGACAAATGTAGGCAGATGGACCCCTAAAATTCATCCAAAACCCACAGCCATCCCTCCTGGCTCCCTCCACACCCGCCACTCTGGTAGAAGAGGGTCTGGGTACTCCCAGACGATAGCCCTGCATGTGATAATTGCTCACTGGTTGTACCACAGCAGTAGAATTACAGAACTGCAGATTTGCTGAGATTGGAAAAGCCCTCTAAAAAGGAAAAGCCTTCCAGCTATTGATTCTCCATCACTGCCAAGGCCGCCGCTAACCCATATCCCCAAGTGCCACATCACTGCATTTTGAACACTTCCAGGGATGAGGACTTCACCAACACCATGCACAGCCTCTTCCCGTGCCTGGTCACTCCTTCTCTGAAGAAACACTATATGATCTATAGCCACAAGTATAAACACCACAGTGCCCACTGCCCGACAGGCGCTGCTCCGAGCTCGGAGCCACAGGAAAGGTGCCAGGGTGATGGAATCTGTGGTATTTAGATGATTCCGAGACTGTAGAAAGTCTCTGAGCCCCGCAGCCAAAGCAGAAGTCATAAATCATCTGTGCTGGTTTTCAAGGTTGTTTATTCTAATACATATAAGAATATATAAAAATATAAGAATAAACTTATCTGTAACGTGTTCTGTCTGACCTGAGGCAGGTCTGTCCTGCAGGGCAGTGTGCGGGGCTCTGCCCTCAGTGGGATGTTACAAATTTTATATACCAGAAACTACGTGTGCTGGATTTACAATAACGTGCCAATATAACATCCCTCAGTGGGATGTTACAAATATTATATACCAGAAACTACGTGTGTTATATTTACAATAACGTGCCAATATCTATTGCCTACGTTGAACAGTGTGACCCCAGTCTAAACCAACAGAAAAATGCCAACACTACAGTGAAACATGGAGGGCATGAAGAAGAAGACAAGGCATACCAAATTTCCTCTATCTTGTTCCCTTTGAACCCCTTATCTAGAATCCTAAAATTCTATTTTTGCACCCGTGCCACACTAATTATTACTCATATCAAACACTCAGAGCTTGTAATTCATCCTGTAAGATTGAAAACTCTTTTCCATGGGCAGAGATCACAGCCAGTGTCTCTCAGGGCTCTGTCCAGGGGGGTTCCTGACCCTGCCAGGGTCCCAGGGCAGCCAGAGGGATGCTCTGGACTCTCACACCGGGGCAGCCCCCTCGGACCCCGGGGCCAGACAGTAAATGCCACACGGCTGTCGAGGCGCGGTGCGGCCGCAGGAACTCTCTGTGCTGACGGTATTTTGTACCACACGCCGTCTGGATGGTGCTTGCCCGGCAAAGAGAGGATCCACCGGCTGCAGGGGCTGTGCCTGGTTCGGGATTTGGGAGGGGGACGTGTCCTCTGGCCTAGAAAGAACCTCAGACAGGGTGGGATGTGACTTGCTGCACCTCTGGTGTTATAAATTGAGGCGAATACTTTGATTCAGCCTTTTAAGGTCAATTAATAATTGTATTAATTACAGCAAGTGATAGCAAGCAAACAGCGCTGGGTGCAGCTGCGGAGCCTGTGTTCCACCAAAAGCTGACAACCTTTCCTTCTCTTCAGTCCCTTTTTATCCTGCATAAGTGGGGGTGATGGGTCTCCTTCCACCGTGGTTATCAGTTCCAGCAACAATGGGTTTCCACTGCAGTTATCAGTTCCAGCCAGTCCTGCAAAATCTTTCACAATCTTTGTTTGTGGTTACCAGTCAAACCTGTAAATTCCATGTCCCGATTTCCCCACCTTTTATCCTAATTTCATACTTTTGATGAACAAACAAGTCAATGCAGTTCCTCACCTCTGGCATTAAAATGAATTAAAATGGGGCTGAGGGGAGTCCCACAGGAGGCCTGTGGTACAAGAGGTACGCTGGGGAGACCTCGGTGCGGGACACAGGAGATAAGGAAGCTCCAAGGCAGAAAGGGAGCCCAAAGGACACAGCGGAGCCCTAGCACAGAGAGAGCCCACAGGAAATGGGTGTCCCACGGGCCGTGAGGGGGGAACCCCCCGGTTCTGAGGACACCATGGCACGGCGGCGCTCAGGGCGCGGGCCGAGGGTGGGGAAAAACCCGTGAGACGCACGGGCGGTACCGGCAAGGCCGCACCCCCGGGACACAGCGGGAGTGGCGCTGTTTTTAACGGGGGGACCGGGCGGCTGCCCGCACCAAACATGGCGGCGCTCGGGCCGCGGCAGCGATGGCGGCCGCGCGGGTCACTGCGCATGCGCGCGGGGCTCCGTGCGCCATCGGCGCGCCGGCAGCGGCGGCGAGGTACGGGGGCGCGAGCGGCGGCGGCTGTGGGTCCCTCCGGTCCCTCCGGCCCCGCGGGCCGAGTTCGGGTCCCCGCGGGCCTGCGTGAGTCCCTCCGGCCCTTGCGTGTCCTGCAGCGGCCGCCGGACCCGGTGACCCCGCGGGCCCAGGCCGTGGGGCGGCCTCCAGCGCAGGCAGCCCCGCGGGCGTTCGGAACGCGGCGTGACCGTGTCCTGCCTCCCTGAGCTCCCTGCCGGGCCCCAGTTCCACAGCACAGAATAAAAGCCTCGACTCGCGGCTTTCGGTGCTCGCCGCCTTGTCTCCCAGCCCGCCCTCCGCGCTCGGGGGCCTGGTCCGGGCGAGCCCCTCGTGTTCGCGGTGCGGAACGCGGATTGCCGTGGGTGCAGGCGGCAGCCGGCCTGCCCTGGTGGCCGGGTCTCCTCCGGGGTGTCGCTGAAGGTGGCAGGTGTCCCGGCGGCAGCTCCTCAGTGGCGGGGCTGCACCGCCATAGGGACCGGGGGAAGGAGCTGCCCGCCTGGGTTCGCTTTCCCCCAGGTTCCGCCGCTGGTGATTGCTCCCGAAGCCGAGAGCCTGTCTGGGAAAGCCCGAAGGCCGGCCGGCCCCGGCTGCCAGCTCCCTGGGCGGGGCGGAGCGGCTGCTGCGGGAAACGAAACTGAAACGGAGCTCGCAGCCATCTTAGCGGTGCCTCTGCGCCGGGACCCGTCCTGCGGGTCCGCGTTCCTTTCTTTTCCCTCTATTTTCTCATAAAATAATTTGGCGTGCGGGTGAGACTGAGGTAAGAGCGGTTTTGGGTTTTTTTTTGTTTGGTTTGTTTTTTTTGTTTTTTTTTCAAAGCCCTCATCCTATTTTTGCCCTGCCTTTGGCTCAGGGAGCACTCTGTAAAACGGGGTCGCTGAGCAGGGGGCAGCAGTGGGACTCCTCGGAGCCGGGGAGGTGGGAACCTGTCGCTCTGCACTCAGCCTCCCCATGTTGGTTGTAAAAATAAGTCCCGGTGAAGGCAGCCGAGTGCAGTTGTTTAATGAAAGTGAAATTTAAGTTGACCTTGAGGTGTTTGGTGAAGATGGGGAGCTCTATAGAAATGAGACTTGGATCAGAAAAGCTATCTTTGTGACGGTAGGTGCTGTAAGGAGGTCACGGAGGACGGGCAGAACGGGGACCCAGCAGTGTTGTATCGTGTTCCGTGTCTTTATCCTCTCCGTTTTGTAGCAAGTGTTATCAGAAAATTAAAATATGCTGGGCTGGTGTCCTTACTGTTAAAAAGCATATTAATAGTTAAGTCTTATCCCTGTACTCCAGGGGGGCAGTACGACTTTGTGTGATAGAGTGAGAATTGGGCTATAATGGAAAAAAACTTGTATCTTTGCCAGCTGCACACCTATCCAATTTCTCTGCATGTTATCACTTTCATTCCCCTGTTGTGTGATGTTTTACCTCTACAGGTTACATAGTGTCCGGGGAGGAAAAGACACTTGGCATTTCAGACTCTTTTGGCCATGAATCTGAAAATAATTGCAAGCCTGTTGCAGCTCTGTTCTGTGTGACCATGCAAGTTGCTCCAGCTCCTTGTGCTGCTCCAGTTCACCTCCTTGCGCTCCTTTACCTCCTCATGCCCCCATTTCTCAGGTTGCAAAGTAGGTCTGAGATTCTTCTCTCCCTTGAGGCAGGGCAGCGGAGCTTGCTGTGTTTCAGGAGTGCATTCTGAAGAGGCCGCCCAGCCCCGTGCTGGAATCAAGCCTAACAGGAGCAGAGGGCTGCTCGTGGCAAAGCTGCTTCTTGGGATTGACTTCACCTGCAGTTTGGGGCTGCTGGTTCTCTGCTGGGCAGACAGAGTTTGCCGTTTGTGTTTTTACAGGACTAATTTAGACTCCTAGAAAAGTAGGAAAAAACCAGACAAGTGAGAAGATGAAGTGCCTCAGTAGCTGGGAAGCTGTTTAAACTGCATTTCGGGAATGCTGTCATTGTGAAAAGATGTTCTGTGTTTTTTCTCCTCAGGGCAGGAGAGTGTGGAGTGAGTGGCAGCTTCTCTCCTGGCTCATCAGCAGCCTGGTTCCCACGCGTGTCCCAGGAGTGCGCTATGATCAGAGGCGCTGGGCGAGGCAGAGGCTCCTATCTCACCCAGCCAAGACAGAACTGCCCCAGCACTAACCGAGGTCTTTTTAAGCACCCTCGTACCCCACAAGAAACTAATCAGGAAAGCTTTTTACACCAGCAGTTCCTAACGGAGCAGGACGCTGAAGTCTCTGTGTTGCAGGGACAGGGATCACACAAGGAGTGGCGCACCAGAGGCGGGCGAGCTGCGGCACCGGCAACTGCAGGCAGAGGTCAGCCCAGCTCCAGCTGGGCTGCAGGCCGGAGGTTCTCCAGCCGTCAGGAGTTCTCCAGCCAGCATCCACGCCTTGAGACTCTGCCCCGGTATTGCCCTTCGCAGCACCATCGTCAGGAGAACTCCAGGAGAGATTCTGATGCTGTGAGGCTGAATTTCCAAAGACTGTCTCTTGCTGGGCAAGACTATGAGCGAGAAATTTTGACTGTTTTGAGGCAGCTTGGGGAGGGGAGGACTTGCACGGCTAATGATCTGGCACGTAAACTTAAAACTACAAAGAAAGAGGTCAACCGTGTTTTGTATAAACTCCTCAAAGAAGGCAAGTTACACAAAGAGGGAGAGACACCACCACTGTGGAGAATTCCCAGCCCTAGTTCTGGGAGAGAAAGAAGCCCTACTGACCACAGTGCCAGTTGCACAGATCCAGCAAATTGTGAGAACAGAGGAGAGCGGAGCACATTTGGCTTGGGAGACGCAGAGATGGCTGAGACAAAGGAGAAAATCTGCAACTACTTGTTCAGTGTGGTGGAAACAACAGCTCTCAATCTTGCCAAAAACATTGGGTTTTCGAGAGCCAAGGATGTTAACGCATTTCTTAGCGCTCTGGAAAAGCTGGGAGATGTTCACAAGCAGAATGCAACTCCACCACGATGGTCCCTGACAAACAGGAAACGCGAGAGGATGCAGATGAGGCTGAAGGCTAGCACAGTAATGCAGATGGCAGATGCCACAACTCCTGAGTCAGGTCTTCCCTCTTCCTTTGTCCCTCCGTGTCCCCCGGAGGTGACTGCAGCTTTGCCACCAGTGATGAAAGAAGAAGAAGAAAGTGCAGAAAATGAGCAGCAGCCTTTGGGGCAAGCTGGTCAGGGCAGTGTCGGTGACAAGGAAGCAGATGCATCTGAGGACACTAAGCCTGACTTCTCCAGTTTGAGTAATTATGATAACTCAGAAAACAGCAAGTGGACCACAGATGATATCCCAGATAATCTGAATGCTATCAGCAAGCAGCCTGATAAGTCAGAATGCATTATGGATTCTCAGTCTTCCCCCAGTTATGCTGCCCAGTTTGAAACTGCTTTCCCATGTACACCTGCAGAGAAGCTGATAGCTTGTCAGGAGAAGAACCCAGTGAGTGGCCTTACTGAATATTCCCAGTACACATACCAACACTGTGATTTCATCATGCTGGAGCAGAATGGACCCTCTCATGAGCCACGGTAAGAAAATGTCCTTCCTTTTCCGAGCTCTTTTTCCTTAAAATGATTTGACTTAAACTAAGTTCACCCACTCAACTGTCCTGAAGAGGCCTGCTGTTAATGTTTCTTTCATTTCAGAAGGATTAGCCTAGTTGATTCCTTGCATCAGCTTAAAAAAAAAAAAAAAAAAGCGAGGCTAAAATTTAACCCTAGGTAGACCAGTTTTAGCATCTGAGCAGCAAAGATGGGATTAATTTCTTCACTAGGTCCCATCTAATTTCTTGCCTTCAATTTGACCATACAGGGGGGAAACTGGTATTTCTAAGCTGCCTCTAAAGATGCTTTTACCCTGGAAATGGTGTAAAGGGAGCCCAGAATAAAGTGTTTGGGTGCAGGTGTCTTAAGTTAAACAAGGTGGCCCCACTCTGGACAGTTCTGTGTTGTAGCAGGTCAGAGCCAATTCTCCGAGCTGAGCATGTGGCATGACACTGCAGTTGGCTAAGTCAGTCTCTGGAGTCCCTTGCAGAATCATGGCTGTTACCGAGTATAAGTGAGACCAAGAAAATCTCCATATGTATCACACTGAAACGTATCAATAGATCCGCTAGACAGGAAAATTGGCCTAATTTCTAAAGATGGAGTTGCAGGGTTTTGTTATTTTGGTTTTCTCTTTTAAGAAAGGATCTGAATGGATTCAGCGCCCTAATCCCTCTCCAGATCTGGTTTGAAGGACTCTCCTTGGAAGCAGATTTCCAGGGCTGGAGGATGGAAGATCAACTTGCTTGTTTGAGGTCATAGGCATGGGGGAGGCAGAAATGTCAAAGGCAAGAGGTTTATGTGAGGCAGCACCTTTCTAAGATGGATGCCCTGGATAGCCACGGAGAATGCCAGAAGGAGGAGTGACCCCTGAAGGACCAGGTGCCAAGTGAAACAGTGAAGGCTGCTTTTGAGCTTTCTTATTTCTGGCCAGGAGCCACAACAGAGCCGCTGCCTGCATACAGCCATTACCTGTTTTTGGCACATGTGCTGGAACAGGGTGATTCATCTTGCTCCTTCAGAACAAACCATGGAGCTGCTCCTCTGTTGTGAACAGCTCTGGAAATGTAATGAAACAAGGCCCAGATGCAGTGCTGCTCAGGTGCCCTTGGGATTTTTGTCTTCTGCTCATGACAGTCTGGATTTATTCTCCCAGCTGGGAGCTGGCTTTTTCTTCTCCTTTGAATTCCAAGAGCAGCCTTGCTTGCTCTGAGAAGACCACACTTCTGCTTCTCAATATGTCCCTTTGGTTTTCTCTTTCAAAGGTTTAAGTTCCAGGCAGTGATCAACGGGCGCCAATTCCCACCAGCGGAAGCAGGGAGCAAAAAATTGGCTAAGCAGGAGGCAGCAGCTAATGCCATGAAGGTCCTGATGAGTGAAGTAGAGAATGGGAGGCACAGTGGAATTAAATGTGAGGAGCCATTTCCCTCCAACAGCTCGGAACCAGAACTGGTGAGTCCTGTTTACTCTGTGAGGCTGCTCAAACAGTATTGAGTCTGACACTGATTTCCTCCATCTTCTCTCGGTAGCCTTTGCAGCTGGAGCCAGAGCTGTCATCTGCAGCAGCTCACCTCACCCTGCTTCCTGGGAAGCATCCTATCAGCATATTAATGGAGTATGGTCAAAAATCAGGGAACATAATTGAATTCCAGCTGCTCTCTCAGGAAGGCCCACCTCATGATCCTAGGTATGGCATATTCTTGTCAGCTTTGAGGGAGGGTGGAAACTCTTTGCTGTCCTTCCCCTTCAGCATGTAGCCCACATTCCTGGAGTTGTCACTTAATCTAGCTCTTAGCCAAGGATTCTGGGCATGGCTTGTCCAAGATATCTAGTTCCAGAAGGAGACCCAAAGTGACACCCTTTCTCAGAGAAAGGATGCTGTTTCTTCTACCAGAGCAGGAGGAGGTTCCAGTCCTGTACCCTTCCTGGAGGTGCTCTACTGGAAGTGTTTAGGGCCATCACAGTAGGTTTCAATTGAAGATAAATTGGAGGTAACCCAGAAGGATTTACCTGGAAGTGGGGCATGGGGATAATAACCAGATTGAGACACCTATGGTTAACACTTTTCATGTACTATAATGTCCTGTCAGGTTCAGCTACTGTGTGAAAATGGGTGACCAAATTTTCCCTGCTGTAGTAGGAAACAGCAAGAAGGGAGCAAAGCAAATGGCAGCAGAAGTTGCTGTGAAGATTCTTTCTGGAGAGTCTGTACCCCATGTCTTGCATGAACAGGTATAAAGAGCTTCTTTGTAAGACCCAAGTATTTGGAATTGGGTGTTCTCCCCCCTTTTATTTCCTATTCTGCTGGATTTCACCCCACAAGATCATGTGGGGCAGAGGTTTGCTGCTGCTTTTGGCCTGCACTAAATGCAGCTGCTCAGTGTTTAACCATCTTCTCCTGTCTAATTCTGCCCTAGCCTGTTGTGGAGCCCCAGAGTGACCAGTCCATGCACAATATCGCCACTCCAGATGAATCCAAAGTGGTGAAAACGAAGGGTGTTGGGGAGCTCATCAAATATCTTAACGTCAATCCTGTCAGTGGCCTGCTGGAATATGCTCGTTCCAATGGGTTTGCTGCAGAGTTCAAACTCATTGACCAGTCAGGACCTCCCCATGACCCCAAGTAAGTAGCAGCATCTGGCAGAAGGAAATTTTGTGCTGCTGCTGTTGTCCTAGGAAAAGGGCAGAAAGCTCAAAATCGCTGATGCCTTTTGAGATGGCAGCAGGGCTAGTTGCTACCTTTGCCAAATCTTGTCCCTCATTCTCTCCTCTCTCCACTTTGAGAATGTAAAACCCAAACTGAAATCCACAGGTTTCTTGGTTTCTTTGTAGGTTTGTCTATCAGGCGAAGGTTGGAGGCCGCTGGTTCCCGGCTGTAACTGCACACAACAAAAAGCAGGGCAAGCAGGAGGCAGCTGATGCAGCACTCAGAGTCCTGATCGGGGAGTCAGAGAAGACTGAGCGCATGGAATGGATGAGTGTCACTGAGGTAAATCTTCTGCCAAAGCTGGGGTTGTGTTTGTAGTCCTGGTTCAGCCAAAAAATGCTTTCAAAATCAACAGTGTGATCCCTTTGTTCTCTGCAGCTGTTGATAACCTGATACGGTTTTCCTGAAGTGGGTTAGATGTTTCCTCAGGGCACAGGCATACCCTCCTGTCCTACAGGCCTCTGCTTTAGGGCTAAATTATTATCAGATTCTTCCAGAAACTACAGAAATGCATTGCTGTGGTAGAGTAGGAACTGCTTGTTTTTAGTTATAACATTTTTTTTATTACTCCTTCCAAATTTCTTTGTGCTGCATTAAAAATTGGGTGTCAGCTCAAAAATTAATGCATCAGATAAACGCAGAGCCCTGGTTGTGTCAGGATGGCTGTCCCAAACTTGGGCTGATATAAATCACAGTTAGAGTGTTGTGATCTCTGAAAAGCCTCATTCCAGGCAGTGCAGCTGGGGCTCTAAATAGCAAAGCCATCAGGGAGGATTTGTCAGTCAGCAGTGCTGGAGGAGATAAGTTGGTCTGCACTGGAATGACTGTGCACTCTCCTCACAGGCAGCCAGAGGAGGAATTCCTCCAAAGCCAGGAACAGATTTCCTTGGCTGAGTCTCTGGAAATAGGCAGGTTGGTTTTGTTCCTTCATGCTTGGGGTTTTCACTGGCATTCTCAGGAGGCAATTCCTCAGCCCGTGTCACTTGCTGCAGGAAGACAGCTTGCTGCTGTCTCTGATGCAACTAAAGCAGAGCTCACAGCCTTGGATGAGGCTTTCCCAGAAATTCCTAAAAGAACTTCACCCACCCCTTGACACAGCACTGCCCAAAGCTCAAAGTTTTCTGTGTACTGCCTTCTGCTTGGAGAGCTGTGCTGCAGGTTAGCTCATTCTTGAGCTGTGTGGTGTGACCTGCTCAGGACCTGTGCTGTTGTCCCCACCGCAGCTCCCTGTGAGCGGCAGCACCCTGCACGATCAGCTGGCCATGCTGAGCCACCAGCGCTTCAACTCCCTGACGGCTCGCGTGCAGCACAGCCTGCTCGGCCGCAAGATCCTGGCTGCCATCATCATGAGGAGAGGAGATAAGGGCTTGGGAGTGGTGGTCAGCATCGGAACAGGTATGAACAGCTTCTTCCAGCATGCTCTGAGCTCTCCGTGCTGCGTTTCCTTGCCAGCCACGCTCAGAAATCGTTGTTGCTGTAGGCTTCCTCAGAGAGGGTACAAAATGTTCCCAGGGCTCACATGGTGTCATGAGTGATCTGGCTAGAGAGAGAGAGAGAACAAAGCAAATGTGCCTGCAGCTGTATTGCTCTTAATCTTTGCTTGCATTGCTGCGTCCTACTCTGTGCATCAGAGCATGGGTTCCTTATGTGCCAGAGCACACAATCCCCGAGTTTCTCCCAGCTGCACGTACCTTATCTCCCTCCTTGCTTTGCTGCCAGGCTTCTACCTGGAGTGATGGTCTGAAAAGCCCTGGGGAAGGTACAGTCCCCCAAAACTCATGTCAGTTTAAGTGTGTCTGTCTCTAAAGTGGTGTCCCTTTATTTTCTTAACAGCTTGTGATAGTGATTTAATAGGCAGGGTGCTCGTGCTGGTGCTGCTGCTCAAGAGCCCAAAGAAATAAGTCTTCCTCCCTCTGTCTCTGAAGCCATCTTGACTTTGATACCTGCCCTATTATTTAATTCTTTATGTGTTTGTTTCAGGTAATCGCTGTGTGAAAGGAGAAGAACTAAGCTTGAAGGGAGAGACAGTAAATGACTGTCATGCAGAAATAATTTCTCGAAGAGGCTTTGTGAGGTGAGAAAAGGGGAAGCTCAAAAGGAAAAGGAGAAGAGCTGCTCTCCTATTCTGGAGGGATGTGACTGAAACACACCCCTAGTTTTTTGCTGTGCTGAGAGATGCTGTGATCCTCAGACACTGTTTGCTCATGCATTGTTGAATAAAGGGAAGTTATTTCTTACCAGAAGGGGCCATACCTGAATGATGCCCAAATACATACTGAATGGGAGACTTGCCAGGAGCCCAAGGGCTGCATCTGATGTACTTAATGTTAAGCTTCTTGCTGAAGCTGCTGGACTGATACACAGGGTGCTCTCCAGCCTGAGCACATCTCCTGCCATGCCAAGCCACTGCAGGCTTGGTCTCCTGGCCTTGCTGTGTCTGGGTGTAGAAGGATTCAGGAAAACAGACTGCATATGTTTGCTTTGATAATGAACATGTTTTTCAGAGGCTGGAAAGGGTTTTCCCAACTAAAGTACACAATTCTTCTCTTCCTCTTCTGTTTCCACGTTCACTGTGTGGCAGTTTTTAGTTTTTGAAAACTAAAGTGAGATGAAGTTGGGCTGCTTGGTTAATGTCTGTACTTCAGTTATGAACAAAAAAATCAGCTGCTTCGTCCAAGCCTTTGTGTGCTGCCACTGTGCTCTGCATTCCTCAGCAAGGGAAAGTGTTGAGGGCAGGTCTCTGGGAAGTGATGAATCAGGATTGCATCTTGTTTACTGTCTGTTTCAGCTGTTAATCCTGACAGCGGTGGCTGCTCTGGCACAGCAGAGTGAACTCTGCCTCTCCTTGCAAAATCAGTCCCTGCACAGGCTCTGCTCAAGGACTGCCTGGGAGGCTGCAGTTCTTCTTTAGTCCTTGACATGATGTTGGAGACCTCAGGGTTTTGCCTAGCCAGAAGCAGCCGTAAAAGACCCATCAGTGTAAACAGATCATGGGCTCATTCTAATACCACTTGAATTCAGCTGCCTGCAGGGTTGTTCACTTTTAATGCAAACTTGCTGCTGTGCTGACTAAAGGTGCTGCTAACGACCTTGAAGTCATCTTCACACTGGGATCAGATGCGTGTGAGCAGCACCCAGCCAGGCTCCTTCTTTTCTCCTGCCAGAGCTTCCCTCGGCTTCCTGGACAGGATGCTGCTTTTCTACTGCATGTCCTCTGCATGGCAGCAAATCTGCAGGATTTTTCGCTCTTTTTGTGCATCAAGCATTATTTGTTGGCTTCCCAGGCATCCTCAGCCAGAGCCTGGTCTCTGCTCTTCCACGTGGCAGGAATGGGTGTTGTGGGACCCTGCCTATCAGTTGAAGCACTTCTTGCCTGAGAAGCAGAGCAGCCTTTTGACAGGATGGTGTTTTTTTCAGGTTTCTTTATAGCGAGCTGATGAAGTATGACCCATCTAATCCTTCCTCTGCAGAAGAGAGCATTTTTGAGCAAGCGGGAGGAAAGAAACTCAAAATAAAGAGCAGTGTCACCTTCCACCTCTACATCAGGTTGGTGGGGGGTGTGTTGAACGACTGGTGTCAGCAGCACTGACACACCCCTGGCCCTGGCTGTTTCCTTTACAGTCAGTGCTAACCAGGGGGGTTTGTTTTCTAGCACAGCACCGTGTGGAGACGGAGCACTCTTTGATAAATCCTGCAGTGATCAGGCAAACGAGACAGGACAACCCCAACATCAGCCTCTCTTTGAGAACCCCAAGCAAGGCAAGCTGCGGACCAAGGTGGAGAACGGTGAGTGCAATCACTCCATGCACCATGGAGTGGTTTCAGTCCTCTCCTGGGAGCCTTTCTGGTGCTCCAGAGCTTTCAAATCCCTCTCTGTGTTATGTTGTGGGATTTGAAGCATTCAGGAACCAAAAGTAGATAGAAGGCTTCAGAGAGAGTCCCTTTCCCCTTCCCAGGAAGGCTTTGGAGAGTCTTTTTTCCCCTTCCCAGCTCTGCCTCTTGCACTGCCACGCTTGTGAAGTTTGCAGCTGAAGTTTGATGCAAAGCTCAGATCTAGGTCTGTGTCCTGCCTTTCAAGCAAAGCTTCAGCCATGTTGAAAATTACTCATCAGTACCCAATACTGATGAGTGTGAACCTGGTGTCAGACTCTGGGTATTCAGAAGTTTCTTGTGCAGTTGCTGCTGGGGTTTTGATGTGTGGAATATCTGACACTACACAGAAAAGCTTTCTTCTTCTCTTGTGCAGGGGAAGGTACCATTCCTGTGGAGTCGAGTGACATTGTGCCCACGTGGGACGGGATCCAGCACGGGGAACGGTTACGAACCATGTCCTGCAGTGACAAAATCTTACGCTGGAATATTCTTGGCTTGCAAGGGGCATTGCTCTCACACTTCCTGGAGCCAGTTTATCTTCACTCTGTTACACTCGGTGCGAAACCCTCTGTCCTTCCAGAGTAAAACTAGGCTGCAGTGACAGCTCGTCTCACTCCCCAGTGTGATGGCAAAGTTTGTTTGTGGAGGGTGTAGGAGTAACAGACTGAAATGTCTTTCTTGGCAGAGCGGTTTGAAAATGTAAATGAGTCTCTGGATTTTAGGCTGTGGGTAGAGCCGGTGTCTCTGCAAAGTTCTGGATTTTTAGGAGAGTGAGACAAAACCTGCATGTTTGTGTCTTCAGTGAAAAATGTTGCAGTCTGTAGACCATTGTCTTACACACCCAGGATACATGTAGCTGTGCTGAGCCACATGCTGTGAGCTTTTGGGAGCCTGTGAGCAGTGCTGCAGTTTTTGGGGCTTGGTCAATCCATCACCTGTGCCATCCTGTTTCCTCACACCTTTACTTCTGCCTCCACAGGTTACTTGTACAGTCAGGGTCACTTGACCCGTGCCATCTGCTGCCGTATGGAGAGGGATGGGAGCACACTGAAGGAAAAGCTCCAGGCTCCGTATCACATTAACCATCCTGAGGTACTGCAGCTGTAGCACTTCTTCATCTTTGTCCCCCATTCCTTTGCCTGTGGGTTTGAGGGCCCCTGAAACACTCTGCAGGGAGGGTTGTTGTGCAGCAGCCCTCCAACCAGGGGCAAGAATTAGTGACCAGGAACAGAATTGTACAATCAAGGGATATCCTGAGTTGGAAGGGACCCACAGTGTCTCATCAGGTCTGGTTCCTGGCCCTACACAGGACAACCCCAAGAATCTGCCCTCTTTGTGTCACCCCACAGTTTGGGGGTTACTGGCAATATCTTAGTCTGGAAAAAAGGACACTAAAGTTGCCTCTCTAGCGTTCAACTCAGTAAGAACCTTTTCCTTGGGGGTCTGGAAAGTTGGGAATGAGCTGAAACTGTGAGAGATGAAAGGAGCAAGAGACTCGGGCAGCAGGACCAGGTTAAGCTTCCTTCTGGTGCAGGTTGGGCGAGTCAGCGTGTATGACTCTGCAAGGCAGACAGGCAAGACGAAGGAGTCGTCAGTGAACTGGTGTCTTGCTGATGAAAGCGAAGTTGAAATCTTGGATGGCACCAAAGGGAAAGTAGATGGGTAAGAAGAGCCTTTCCTGACACTGCCTTTTCCTTACACTGTCTGGGGGAAGGGGGGCAGCTCTGAGGTGGGGAGGACACTCCGCACTGTTCCAGCACCCTACACACGGGGAGGGTTGGATAGAGGAATTTTAAACAGACATAAGCAAGCACTCCTGAAGGAAAACAAAATGTTGCCCTGCTTGGACCCTACCACTGAGCCCTGCCAAGCCCAGAGCTCCTCCATCATGGGATTTTCCCTGTGCCCCCTGCTTTTCTTGGCTCTTCTCCATGTCCTGTCCCTCATTGCTGTCTTCCTTCCCAGTGTGAAGCTGGAGGTGTCTCGTGTGTCCAAGAGGAAAATGTTCTCCCTGTTCCAGCAGCTCTGTGCAAAGAACAACCGCCAAGACCTGCAGGGCTTCTCTGTGTACTCGGATGCCAAGGAGGCAGCCACAGCATACCAGGCAGCCAAGCAGTGCTTCTTCAGCACGCTGGAGGAGCTGGGCTATGGCAGCTGGATCCGCAAACCCCAAGAGGAAGAAAATTTCTCTGTCCTTGATGTGTAAGGAAGCACTCTGCAAGGAGTGGGGTGTTAATGTGCACAGGCTGTGCATGGCTGTGCTCATCCTTCTTTCACCACGTTTTTGGAGTGGAATCAGGACTGTGCAGCAGTTTTCTTGTAGGCCTGGCTGCCTTGTCACTGTCACTCAGACCCTGCGTTTTTAAAATGTGCATGTAAATGATTCTCCTGTTTTTTAAGCAAGGACGGGCTCAGTCCCAATTTGCTTTTTTATAGTTTTGGCCCCCCCTTTATTGTTTTTTAAAGAAGGCACGAGAAACTAGAGGAATTTTCAAGACTGTGAGCTTGAAACCTTTGGACCACATTCTGCAAATCCCTCTGGCAGGTTTTGAGGCAAATTTTCTCCTTTGAGATTAAAAAAAAAAAAAAATCAGGATGTTGACTGGTTTTCTGTGTCTCTGTTGGAAGATGACTGGCAGCCCAGCCAAGCTGGGACAAGGGACTGACCTCTGCAATGTGCAGCCATAGGACCAGCATAACATTCTGCATTAATAACAAAAAAGAAAGTTTCAGCATTGTTTGCCATGGGTGTGTTAATTCCTGCTGAGGTGAAGAGGGGTCCATGGTGGGGTTTGGAGAGGGACAGAGTATTTGAGATGAGTTAGTATCTGCTGAATGATGAAGGGAGCTGGGTAGAGTATGGAACTGAGCCTCTTACCTCAAGCACAGGGGTCATTGGGCAGAGCTGAGTCCATGAGGGCTGGGCTCTGAAATGCTGGGGCAGAGCCCTCCCAGCTCCTTCCTTCACTCCTAGCTCTAGGAAAGGGTGGGTGTCTTGTGTCTGGACACCAGGGGTGGCTGCAGGCTCTGTCCTGCGCCTGTTTGGGTCTGAGCTGACTACGTGCCAGAGATGCTGGTGGAAGGTGAGCAGTAGCAATGCTGTTGCCATGCAGCAGCAGTTTATTGGGTGTTTTTGAAGCAGCCCCTCTCCCTGTACAAGGCAGATGCTGGCTTTGCCTGGGATGAGAGCTAGCTGTCTGTCCTGTCTCATATGAGACCTGTCAGCGTGGAAGTACAGCCCAAAGTGAGGAGCCCTAGGGCTGGGAGCAAGACCCCAGCTCTGGCTGTGGGTCTCCACAGGCCAGCTGAAGGCAGCCAGGCTGGGGCCAAGCAGGGTCACCACTTGCTGAAAGTCCAATTGTCACATGTTCACCCTGCCTGCAGCTGCCCGTGGGCATCCACTGCCACACTGAGCTGTGAGGGGAAGGAACTGCTTGGCACCCAGCCCAGAGCAGGGCTGGGGGGCTCCTCTGTCTGCAGCTGCTCAAGGAGCTGTGTCTGAGGCTCTGGGGGCTCCTGCTGTGCTCCCCACACCTTCCCAGTACTGGCAGATCTCCACTCCCCACTGGGGCACTGCAGCACCCCCCAATCCTGCACTCACCCGAGGCTGGACCAGCAGCAGAGGAGACACAGAGGTGGGATGAACTGGGACAAGCAGCTGGCATAGGGCTGCTTTAGGAGAAAAGCTCTTAACATTTGATATTGGGGTGCACCCCTGAACTCCAGGAGCAGCAGCTGCAGCAGCTGGGATTTCTCTGGGTGAAGTGCTGGGATTTAAATTAATTTCGATTTAAATTAATTTCTAGCGTGCAGCTTCCCCTGGCCCTGTGTGTTGTCAGGCCCTGCCAACACCACTCCCCTCAGCCCCAGGGATTAGTGGTATTTATAGCAAGCACTCTATCTCAGTTTTCCCCAGTGAGGCCAATTCCTGCTGGCCAAGGGAGTGCAGGCAGTGCTGCTGGCCATGGTGTCAGCCCAGTGACCCACGGTCAGCAGCTCCCAGCTTGAGTTGATTCATTGTGTTTTCCTTTTCCTTGTACAACTCATTTCGTGCCTGCTCTTGGCTCCAGCAAACTGAGCCTGGAGTGGAACAGAAGAAGATGGAGCTGGAGCAGCACCTGGCACTTGCTGCCCTTGCCCTGCCTGCAGGTAGGACCCAAAAACAGCTCTTCCTGCTTGGTCCGTGTGTTCACCTCGGAGCCAGAGCTGAGCAGCTCTGTCCTTCTCCCCACGCCTCCACTCCTGCTCTGTCATCCCCTGGGAGCCCCAAGCTGGCACAGGGGTTGGCAGCACCAGGCTGGAGCCAGGGGCTGCCCACTGAGGCTGGGGCTCTGGCCCCACACGGCCTGAGAGGAGATGCAGTGAGTGGTGCTGCCAGGAGCAGAGAGAGCTGAGCATGTCCCCGTGGATCAGGTTTCATGCTCCTATGCTCTCTCCCTCGGCAGCTGGGATTTTCCTCTTACAGAGATGATGCCTTCCTTAGCCTCTTACCTTGTCACAGGCAGCCAGAGTCACCCCAGCCCTGGCTGCATCCTGCTCTCTCAGGCCTGCAGAGCACAGTGTAGGATGAAATGACACCAGATGGAACCAGCCCGGTCCTGTGGGAGTATTTATTGGTTTGCAGGGGCTGCCTGAGCCCAGTGCCCAGCTCTCTGGCCCTGGGACTGGCCATTCCCCATGCTATTTGGAGGTGGGGGTGCCCTGGCCCAGCTGCAGAAGGGAGTTGGTGGTGTAGTTCTGGAAGAGGGGCTGCAGGAACATGCCTATGGTGCCAAAGACACAGACGAAGACGAAGATCCATAAGAAGAGGCGGTCGATGACCATGGCCACGTACTTCCAGTCCTCGCTCACCTGCATGGGGCCAGGAAAAAATGCTGGGTCAGGCTGGGGCCTTAAGTAGTGCCTGCCACTGCCCCAGCTGGGAATTTGGCGCATCTTCAGAGGCTCGAATCTGCTCCCTCAGCACTGCAGTTCCTGGGGCTGCCTGCCAGCCTGCTGTGGGCCTCATGGGGCTCACTCCCGCTGCTGTCACCCACAGCGCTGAGCCCAGGAAACATTTCCCCAGCGAGCAGAGCTGCCAGGGGGACTCTGCAAAATCTGCAGCCTGACTGCCATGCAGGGCCAGGCCTCCTGGGTTTCCAGAGCAGCTGCTTCAGCCTGGGACTGCAGTGGTGGGTCAGGGATCAGTGATGGACCTCACTGAGCACGGGGCTAGGCAGGGACGCCATTGGTGCTTGTGCACATAATTTCTGTGGTGCAGCCATGAGGCAGAACACGCTCTGCACCCCCCAGCTCTGCCCACTCCCAGACCTCACCGCCCACCTCGACTTACACTCTGATCGTCATCCTCACTGCGCATGTGGTCAGCGATGAAGCGCACGCCATCCACCGCCTCCTGCAGCCCGCAGCCGCAGCCCGCCGCGGGCCCCGCTGCCTGCCCCTGCCGCTCCCGGTAGCCATTGAGCCCCTCGGCCTTGGCAGCACCGGGGTTGGCGTAGCAGGTGCAGGCGCGGGCACCAGCCTGCACGAAGAGCGTGGCGGCGGCGGCGCGCTCCTGCGTGTGCCGGCGCTGGCGCAGGCGCTGCCGGGCGCAGCTCTGCCGCGGCTGCTTCATGAAGAGCAGTGCTGGGAGCTTGTGGAGGAAGAGGGTGCGGACCCAGGGTGGCATGGTGTGCGTGGTGGGCGAGCGGTGGTGCACGTTGAGGACGCAGACGCTGGTGACGATGGAGAAGGTCACCAGCACCATGGTGAACATGAGATACTTGCCCACCAGTGGTACGTCCAGTGAGGTGGGTGGCACGATCTTGGAGATGAGCAGGAGGAAGACGGTGAGGGCGAGCAGGACAGAGATGCAGAGTGTCATCTTCTCGCCACAGTCAGACGGGAGGTAAAACACAAGGATGGCCAGGGAGGTAATGAGGATGCAGGGGATGATGAGGTTGATGGTGTAGAAGAGTGGCTTGCGCCGAATGATGAAGTCATACGTGATGTCCACGTAGGTGGAGTCATCAGGGTTCTCGTTGCGCCGCCCTGGCAGCGCCACGATGTCCCACTCGCCGCTGGGTGTGAAGTCATCCAGGCTGGCCACCTCACTCTTCAGCACCAGGTCAATCTCGGTGCGGTCGTAGGTCCAGGAACGGAACTTCATGGTGCAGTTCTGCTGGTCAAAGGGGAAGTGCTTCACCTCGATCTTGCATGCGCTCTTGTAGATGGCAGGTGGCAGCCAGAAGATGCTGCCATCGTAGGAGATCACCGCGTTGGAGTAAAAGGAGACCTCGTACATCCCATCGGCGCTGGGGTGAAGAGAGGTGCTGTCAGTCCTGTCAGCTCAGCAGTACAACGTAGCCCCCTGCCCTGGTTGGGGTTGGGGAACACATAGCACCCCCAAAAAATGACCTACTTGTTGTAGAGCACCACATCAGGCAGCCAGATGTGCTTGGAGGGCAAGCGGACCTTCTTCATGTTGTCAAAGTCCTCAGGTTTCCAGGTGAGGCGATAGTCCTCCCACTCCTGAGGACAGGTGGGATCAGCCCAGCCCAGCCATAGGACGGAGCCGTTCGGGGGTGGTTCAGGACAGGGGGGACAGAGGGGTCCCACACAGGCTTTGTGGGGGGCTATAACAGGGCAGGGTAGACATTAGGGTCGCACACAGGATGTATGGGATAGGGATGGGTCTCAAGGCAGAGGCTGGGGAGTCCTGAGGCAGGGTGGACATAGGGGTCTCAGGGCCACGTCAGAGTCCAGGGTGCCCACCTGGGTCAGCCAGACGTTCGTGGTCATGATCTGCTCCCGCTCGTGCTGCGGAGAGAGAAGGGCCAGTCAGCCAGGCTGCTGGGAGGGTTTGGGGCCCCTCGCTTGCCCAGGAGGTTGGGGAGCAGAGTCCTGGCCAACTCACCACGCTGATGAGCTGTGCCAGCGACACCATCAGCTGCACGGTCACCAGCTCAGAGCCATTGGTCGCCGGCCGGATCAGCTTGTTATAGCGTGCAGGGTCCAGCAGATACTCCACCAGCCGCTCCTCCGTGTCCGTGCCCAGGCTCCCTGGGGCAGAGTGGAGCCTGAGCCCCATGGTGATGGGCAGAGCCCCCCACAAGGGTCTGGAGACCCCCGGGATAGAGCCCGTACCCGGTGCGGGGCTCTGCGCCGGGCAGCCCGCGAGCAGGAGTGATGGGGAGCAGCGTGGGGATGGGGTGTGGGTGTCACAGCGGGCACGGTGCAGTGAGGGCCGGGGCAGAACGGGTGGGTGGCGGGGTTCTGTGAGCGGAGGCGAGCAGGAGTGACGGGGAGCAGCGTGGTGATGGGGTGTGGGTGTCACAGCGGGCACGGTGCAGTGAGGGCCGGGGCAGAACGGGCGGGCGGAGGGGCTCCGTGAGCGGGGCGAGCAGCGGGAGAGCACCGCGGGCTCCTCTGCCCTCCCCTGCCTGTCCCCGCGTTCCGAGCCCGTCCGTGGCACCCCCTGCCCTGCTCGGCTCGGTCCCTGCCCACCCCGGCACCGCCTCGCAGAGCCGGAGCTCACGGCGGCCGCAGAGCCCCGGGGCGGTCGGGGAGCGCCGGCGGCAGCGGCACCGGTACCGGTGCTCGCCGGACCTGTCCTGTGCAACAGGCGCAGCCCCGGGCCCGGGCCGGTCCTGTCCGGTGCCCTCCCCGCCCGTGCCGGTGCCATCCCCCGCAGCCCCCAGCACTTACGTCTGAGGGCAGCGAGAAGGCAGAGGACGCGGAGCAGCGCCATGGGGGCGGCCCGGTGCCGCCGCCGGTACCTGCCGCTGTCCGCGGTGCTGGCCGGGCGCTGTCCGAGGTGCTGGAGCCGGCGGCGGCCCGGGCGGGGCGGCCCCGGGCGGGAGGCGGTGCCGGGCGCTGCCGTGCTCCGGCTCCGGCTCCGTCACCGCCGCCGTCAGCGGCCCCGGGGCCGCCCCCGCCTCCGCCCCGCCGCGGCCCGGGGACACGGCGGAGCGGTCTGAGCTCCCCCGGCCCGCCGCTCCACCGGGGTCCCGGCACGGGGCCAGCGGGGCGGCGGAGCCCCGGGCTGGGATCCGAGCGGAAGGGCGGAGCGGCGGGAGAGTTGGCGGGTGGGAGCCGGTCCCGGAGCCCCCGCGGCCCCGCCGTACGCCCGCAGCGGGGTCTCAGAGCCGGGACCGCCGGGCCCCGGGCAGCCCCGTCCCGCCGGGCTCGGCCGTGCCCGGTGCCCCCCGCGACCTCCGGTGACCCCTCCCGGCGGGGGCGGCGCTCCCCGGCCCGGCCCCGCCCCCTCCCGGGGCCGACCGGGCGTCACCTCCGCCATGTCGCGAGACGCTTCCGGCGGGGCCGCCCCGCCCGTTCCGGCAACGGCACTTCCGGGAGCGGGGCCGTCCCGCCGCCATCTTGGGCGGGCTCCGGGGCTGCGGCGGCGGCGGCGGCGGAGCGGGTCCCTCCATGGGAAGATGCAGCGGGCGGGGCCGGAGGAGGCGGCGAGGGCGCAGGCGGCGGCGGGGGGGCCCGGGCGGAGCGGGGCCGAGGTGGCGGCGGCCCCCGCCGGGCGGCTCCTGAGGCGGGAGCTGCGGCTGCTCGAGTCCATCTTTCACCGCGGCCACGAGCGGTTCCGCATCGGCAGCGCCTGCCCGGACGAGATCAGCTGCGAGTTCGTCCCGGGGGCCGGGGCCCGTGCCGGCGCCTCTGCCTCGCGGGGCCCGCCGCCGGGACCCGTCCGTATTCACTGCAACATCACGGTGAGGCCCGGGGCGCGGCGGGCCCGGCGCCGGGGGAACACCGCCAGCGGCCCCGCCACCGGCTGGCTCCTGGGCGGGCACGGGGCTGCCGCCGCCGCGGCCCGGGGTGAGCCGGGCCTGCGCCTCCTCCGTGGGGCCGCGGGAGCGCCGTGAGCCGCCGCGATCCGCTCGGGGCCGCGGCTCAGGCGGAGCGAAAGCGGTGGCAGTGCCCACGGTCATCCCGGTGTACGAGAGCTGGCCGTTCCCCGCCGCGTTTGGAGTCCCCGGGCGCTGAGCCCCTCAACCCCCCGTTTCCCCCCGTTTCCCTGCTCCCCCCGGTTTTGTTTGGAGGGTTTCCCTGGAGAAGAGGCACCTGTAGCTGCGGTGTCAGCTCCTCCTCTCTGCTCTGCCTCATCCGCACCGCTGTTTTAGGGATCCCGGCGCTGGTGTGCTGATGCCCTCTTTGGTCACAACTGGTTTGTGTCTCCAGGCGAGGAGGGCTACCAGGGCTTTCATAGTCCTGGTGTAGATTCTGAATGGGACTAATGACCAGGGTTTTCTGGAGGGGCATGTTGGGAATGTTGCCAGAGGCTTTGTCCTGGATTACAGGTGTCTGCTTGGCCTCTGCTCTGCGTGGGTACTGCCAGGTTCTTCTGTAACTGCTGGTGCAAAGCTGTGAGGGCAGTAGCCCATGGGCAACACGGGATGCCCTCAGTGTCCTGCCTCTACTCCCTTCCATCCCCAATGGCCCCACGGCCAGAGGGGTGGCCAAAATGCCACTGTCCTCCCTCTGTGTTCAACCCTGGGCCAGGGGGACACGGCACAGAGCCAGCCCGGCATGGTCAGAGTAGGGGTGTGTGTTGCCCTCGGGCCCAGATTTATGCTGGAGGGTGGATCAGTCACCTGTGGTACAGAGGGATCTTCAGCCCCACCTCTCTGCCTCGCTGCTCTGCACCACAACAGCCTCCGTCCCACCAACACCCCCTTCTCCCCCTCTCCAGGAATCTTATCCAGCTGTTCCCCCAATATGGTCTGTGGAGTCAGACGATCCCAACCTGGCAGCTATCCTGGAGAGGCTGGTGGAAGTCAGGAAAGGAAACACATTGGTGAGACATGCTCTGCTGCCCGTGGCAGGGGAGGGCTGGCAGCTTTGGGGGTAACTCCCTGCTTACATATCCCCAGCTGCCTGAAGTGGGGATTGCTTCTGGTCTCATAAATGTTCCAGATATTTGGGATTAACTTCTCTGGCAACCTTTGATGGTGGGGTGGGATTTTGCTGCTTGGAGCAGGAGGGAGCAGCCCTGGGGCCTTTGCTGGCTGGCTGCAGGGCTGAGGCTCAGCTGGGCACGGAGCTCCCCACACTTCGCTGACTCTCTGTTCTCTGGACAGCTTTTGCAGCACCTGAAGCGAATAATCTCTGACCTGTGCAAACTCTACAACCTCCCCCAACATCCAGATGTTGAAATGCTGGACCAGCCTCTGCCGGCAGAACAGGTGAGCAGCTCAGGAAAAGGCTCCCAAAGCTCAGAAAACAAGTTCCAAGTTCCCTGATGTTTGGCTTCTGGGGGTTACCAGAGGAGGAACACAGTGGGTGAGGGGTTGGATTCCTGTCCTGGGTGGTGCCAGCCTGCTCTGCTGGGCCTTGGTGCTGTTTTCTGTAAAGGCTCTCAGCTACTTTTTGCTTTTAATTTGGTTTTTAATTTTGGTTTTTGACCTCACCTTGGAAGCATCTGGGAACCAGGAGAGCATTTTCCCAGGATGCTGACCACACAGTCTCCATCCCCATCCTCTCTCCACAGAGTACCCAGGAAGAGGTGTCCTCTGAAGAGGAAGATGAAGAGATGCCAGAGGTAAGTGTGGGAGGATATGTGTCAGAGAGCTGAGCACAGGGAGAAAGGTGTGAGCGTACAGGGGTCTTGTCTGGGAGAAGCTTGTGGCCAGCAGACAGGGAAGTTTGGATCACAGGCTGGATAGTTCTTGGCATTTGGATCACAGGCTGGATAGTTGTTGGCATTTGGATGCTGAGGATTCTGAGGCACCAGCTGGGCTCCACGTATTCACAAACCCAGGGAGGGCACAGAGGCTGAGCATGGCCATGTAGCCACAGCCTCCAAAGGCACGTGGATGAGCTGTGAGCAGAGCTGCTTGGACAATACATGCTGTTCTCTAAAGCCTAAAATTCCTGCAAGAGAGATGTATTTCTGGGTTGCTGCTGCTGCTGGCAGGAAAGTCACTGTTGCATGGAACTCCCACAGAGAGGATGAGGTCAGGTGGCTGAGTGTGCAAGTGAGCTCATTGCCAGCAGCGGTGGAGGCAGCCACACTTCACTGCAAGCTGAGGGCACCTTACTGCACAACCCACAGGCTCTGGTTGTTTGGTTTGCAGTTTGGAGATCTGTGGAAGTGGGTGGAATAATCTTGAATCTCCATGGTGACGTTTAGCAATGCCTCAGACACGAGAACAGCACGGGCACTGAGTCAGCAGTGCCGTGGAGCCTGGGGGCAGGTCACTGAGCAGCAGCACCCCAGCAACTGGGGGGTTTTAGCAAAGTTAATTGCTTGCTAAATTAAGGCTGGGCTTTGGCAGCATCCATGGGGAGAAGGGGGAGGGTTAAACTGGAACCAGCATAACCTTATGAATCTGCAAATCTGCTGCTTTATGGCAATCAGTGTGTGCAAGGCCTCCACTCCTGTGGGCTGGAAAAATAAATCCCGAGGAGCTGAGCATTCCCCCTTGTGCTTTTTGCTAATGCCAGGCGTTGTGGAGGGGGAATGCTCTCGTGTAGAGCCAAGGTTTTGTGCTGAGCAGTGGGATTTGTTCAGCTGTGCCGAGGAGTGGAGCAGCAGAACTGTGCCCTGGCAGGCAGATTCATTATGCAGGTTAATCTACTCGAGGGGTTTTCTAGGAGGATCTGTTTTTCTGTGTGAGTCTAAAAATGTCCAAGCCCTTCCAAAAACGCTGCTCAATAGCCACGACCAGCCCAGAGAGGCCAGAGTAAACACTTGTTCAGAGGATTTAGTGCCAGTGCTGGAGCTGTGAGTGCCCACAGCCGTTTCCAGGCAGCTGAACCCTGTGTGCACTGGGGAGAGATTTCCGTGGTGGGCCCAGATGGCTGCAACTGTTTTTTCCCATTGGGGTCTTGCATTGCCACGTGTTATTTTGGGAAACAGTGAGGGGCAAAGGCTTCTCTGGGGTCAGGTACTACACTTGGGGTGTGCTGAGCTGGTGTACAGGGAGACATGCTGTGACATCCCCACTCTTGTTGAGGGAATAACATCCCATGCAGCTGCACTTGGGTGCAGGGATCTGTTCTTCTGGTGGGGCCGGTGACCTGTGTCCCTGTTGAGGCTTGGCTAGCCCAGGGGCCAGGCTGCCTGGCAGCACTGTGCCAAGGGGCTGTGCTTTGTTCCAGCAGCTGCAGAAGCCCTAGGTGTGCCAAGATCCAGGGTCATGGTTGCCTGGGGCTTGTTGAGGAATGAGAGATTAATGGATCATTGTAAACAGGCATGAGACATGGCAAGGGAGAATCCAGCAAGCAAAGAGCTCACATGAGCCCAACTTAGTGCCCAGACCTTGTGTCTTCCTCCCTATTTGTACCTCAGATCAGGAGCTGGGATTTCCTGGAGTGAAGGAGTTGCACCAGGAATCGCTCCTGGGTCAGGGCAGCTCAGCACTAAGAGCAGGGAGGAGCAAAGGCACATCTCTTGGAGCTTTCCTTTTCCCTTCCCAGGACACTGAGGACTTGGACCACTATGAGATGAAAGAGGAAGAGCCGGCAGATGGGAGAAAGACAGAGGATGAAGGCATTGGCAAAGAAAACTTGGCCATTTTAGAGAAAATAAAAAAGAACCAGAGGCAAGATTACTTAAATGTACGTGTCGCCCAGTGGGCAGATGGGCTGGGGAAGCAGAGGGACTCAAGGGCAAGAGTGATGGAGGCCCTTGCCAGCCCTCCAGCCCTAAATCAGAGGGGCTGTCCCCAGCCAAAGGTGCAGCAGTATCAGTTCTCCAAGGCTGATGGGGCTGAAGCAGGGGAGTCTGTGAACTGCCTCTGCAGCTCACGGAGGGCACTGGGTGACCCCAGAGGCATTGGTGCCTTGTGGAGCAGTCTTCCTGCAGCAAGATCTGGGGCTCCCTTCTCCCCCAGGAGCTGTGCCCCCATGATCACCTGAGGCTGTGGAGGTGGATCATGCTCTTGTACCCCTGGGCTGAGATTCTAAGACAGTAGAGAGGACACAGGTGTTTCTGCTGCAGCTGTGCTGCCTGAGGTGACATACTTGGGGCAAGGGACAGGCTGAGAGGTGATCGGCAGGATACAGTCTGGTATAGAGGCTGGACCGAGTTGTAGCTCAGGTGTTGACCTCACAGAGCAATAGCCATGGTTGGGTGCAGCATAACAATACAACTTTCCCCCTCCCTGTTCCTTGCAGGGTGCAGTGTCTGGGTCTGTGCAGGCCACTGACCGGCTAATGAAGGAGCTCAGGGATATTTACCGATCACCAAGTTTCAAGGGCGGTGAGTGCTGCCAGGAGCTGCGGG